TGCAAAGAGGATGGGTGTCTTTTCTCTCAGATTTCTTGAGGCTGAATGGCTGGCTCCTGATTTACCCAGCCATCATTCCAGAAGGGAGAACAAAATGATTATTGTTTTTCCTACAAAACTAGAGAGAAGTGTATTTTCCATTAAAAAATAATAAATCCTTTTACCTTTACTATTGTTACAAGACTGAGAACAGAGATACAATGGAGATGTCAGCAGTGACCAAAAATAAGGGAAAAAGAGGTCTTAGAGCAAACAAACAACGTTGGTGATTTGAATAGATTAAGAGCTGCTAGGGATGTAAGTCTAACACAGGAGGAAAGCCAAAGAAATAGAGCTGGATTTATTTTGTTTGTATGTTTTAGCCATCCTTGAGATCTCTTTCACTTCTTTTACCTGTGCTTTTCATAATAGCCTGGTTGGTGGTTGTGATATTCCACGGTAAACAGGAAATCATGACCTATAAAATTTATTTCCTTATCAGCGGAACTGTTGCTTCACAAGGAGAGTCTAGAGAGCCACTGTGCAGGGGTGGTGGAAGCTCTGGAAAAGGAGAGAGCTGAATTTAACAAATTTTGGGATCAGCAAAATAACAGCATCAAAAACTTGCATTCACGAATCTGTGAGATGGAGTCTGTCTTCCTCAGTGCTCCTGTGACTGAGAAGTAAGTGTGCCACAGGTGTTGCTGGCTGGGAACTTCTATAGTTAAATACTCCTGAGTGCTGGTTCAGGTGTTCCTGCTTGGCATTCTCTATCTGGTTTATGTCATTGCTCTTCAATGCAGGTTGCTTTATGAAACTTAAAAAAAAAAATAAGGAATTTTTGTTTCCTTTATTGCTCCCTGAAGAAATTAAAATCAGTATTGAGTGGATGACAGTGTTCATGTATTTTCATAGCTTTTCAAAGTGCTGCCAATGTAAAAGTAGCAAAGATGTTTCATCTGTTTAGATTTCATCCAGTTTACTGAACCTGCACAGTAACAGCAATTTGACTAGCTGGTTTTGAAGGATACTCTTCAATAGAATCAGCTCTGAGTATTCATCAAAACAACCACAGTTCAGAGTGTTGCTTTCAGAACACTGAAACACTCTTGAGTTCTCAGATTTTGTTCGTGTCTTTACACCCAGCAATCTCTGAATCATAATATGTGTTCCTCTTTCCTTATGTTCTCTGTCTCTTCTTATTTGCTGCTAGGTTCATTTCTTTCAGCAACGCTGTGCACTCAGAGCTACAGAATCAGCTGGAAGTGATCCAGGTTTCCCTGAGGAGTTACCGGGACTATTTAGAGGAAGCTTTAGGAGAACTGAGGGATTCAAATGTGAATTTTCTCAGAGCTTGCAGGTATAGAGGTTTCATTGGAGTCTCCTTTATAAATAGTTACCTATTTCTGTCTGTCAGCATTTGTGGCCTAGGCAGAACAGTAAAATGAAAGTTTATTTTGTAGTCATCTGGTTTACTATTTAAAAAAAAAAATAACATAAACTGTAATTGTTAAGCTGTTGTCATCACATTTGCATTGATATATCTGTTATAGGGCTGCTTAGCTCAAATACTCTTTGAGAAGAGGAGCAGGCATAGCCAATTGCTTTTACTTTGCTGGTTGCTTTCAGATTATTTATGGAGGGAGGCAACTTTTCTCCTGAGGAGGTAAAGTCTTTCAGCAAGAGTCTGCAGGGAGAAAGTAAGCGTATTGACTCCTTTGAAAGTTTAATCAAAACAAAAATGGAGAAAATGGAATCGAGCTGCCTGAAGCAGGTGTGCAGAATTTCATTCTTTTAAATTCTGTATTGTATTGACATATTTGAGATGATTTATAATCAGCCTGCTTCCAGATTAGGACTGTGAGACTGTTCTGTGCGGCAGTTAAATGATGGAAAAAAATAAGTAGAAATGCTGGGTTTTGCTATGTAAGTTTTAAAAAGTGAAAGTTAATTGCTTTTGTCTCTTGTTTCTGGCATTCTCTGAAGGCTACTGAACTTATCACCGAGTCAGAACAAAAATTCCATTGTATCTTTAAGAGTCGAGTCTTTATGGAGAAGATCCAACAGTTTTTGAGAAATCTACAAGTGCAAATCAAGTCAGAGGTACAAACAGAAACATCAGAACTGTGTTTAAATGAATTCAAATAGTTCTCTTGTTCTATTGGAAAGATTTTTGGCTGAATTCAGAATGGACAAACATAAAGTGTCTTTTTATATTCATTCAAAACATGTTTTCTATCATTATCAGCTTAAAGCTGATTTTAACTGCTGGAGTTGTGCTGGAACACTATGGCCTTGCAGCAGGTTGAGTCTGTACAGCTGAACAGAGCAGCATGTTTGTGTGGTGCAGTAAAGGACATGAAGTGTTGCTTTGGTGAAATACTGTTTTCAGCCTCTCTGAGTACCAGTGACTGAGTGTTTTTACCAGAGAGTCTAGTGGTTTCAAAGTAGAGCCTCTGAAAATTCCTTGCAATTTCTGCCTCTGCTTTAGGTAGCAAAGTCCAATTTGCAGGCGAGGACATTGAACTCTTATCTGGAGAAGCTCCATCAGAATTTAGATGCTTCTGCTCATCCTACTGCAGATAAGGAAGTGAGTTCTAAACCACAAGAAATGATATTTGCTTTGATATTAGTTTGACTGGCTGTGCATGTTTGTATAATGTATAAACTAATATTTTTGAGGCAGACTAATGCTTACACACATCTGTGGGGGTGGGCAGGAAGAGCACTTCACCACAGAAGTCTTTGCTCAGTAGGGTCCTGTGCCTGTTTCCCTGTCTGCCAAAGAAAGACCTGAGCCTCTGTACAGTCCCATTGCTTCTGTGTGTGTAAATAAAACAGTGACAAAACAGAGTGAAATGATGTTGTATGCAACAGTCAGCATGTCTGAAATTACTGGTTTCTTAAACCTATCTGTATTATCATACCTTCTAGGCTTTGACTTCTGAAGAGTTGTATGAACTTGCCAAAGTATTGTTGACAGAACTGAAGAAGAGGAGCCAGTATCTTGACTGCTTGCTAGTAAAACCAACGATCCTGTATGAAAATGTAAGATAGTGTTCAAGTTCTCTATATTTTGTCTAATATTGAGTGAATTTTTATGTGTATGTTATAAACATTTTCAGAATCTGTGAAATAATCTACAGTCGATCATTGTTTTAAGGGTATATACTTAATTACTGCTTGTGATAATTAAGAGAGTCTATTCTGAACTACATCTAAGTGTCGTTGTATAGCTGTAACAACATTACATTATTATTGGAGTTATAAATTACTTCCTTTTAGCCTGTGAAGCAAAATAGTGTGTGTTTGGAACACTAGTGTATGTTTGCATCTGCTTTAGGGATCATTGACTGTTTGTAATGCTCTCACTAATTGTCTTCTGCTGCCTGGTTCAGGAGGACTTCACCCCTCTTGCATCAAATGTTACATTACAAGGACCACTTGCTGTTGCTGTTCGAACACAGAGTCATAGAGATGAGAACAAACTGCTGGTGATGGGGCTGGATCCTGACAAATTTCCTGTGTTAAATCCAAGCAGAATGGGAAAGTCTGCAATTGGTGATTTATCAATAAGTGTTATCAAAAACATACTTGGGTAAGGACTTGTTTGCCTAAAGGTATTTTTCTGTCTTTATCTGTATTTTGTTTGCTATATATACTACTTCTCTTCTTGAGGCTCATGATAACACTACAATGGGCTCAACTACAATATTTTTTACATTGCTATTCTAGAAGGTTTTCCTGATATCATATTTTGTAGTTTACCTTTGTATATATATAGAATAATTGAATATATTATTCATAGGTAATGCTACTACATACTTTCTGATCAGTCTAGCTCTAAAAGTCAGTCTGGCTGAGACTGCTTTCTTTTTAAATGTGCAATTTCTGATGTCCAAAAGTACCCAATTTTGAATAGAAACGGATACCTAGTTATTATGATAACACTTAGGTCTTGAACTTTTTCTTGTATAGTATTTTATTTAAAAGATTATTACATGCTACATAGTTGAATGAACATAAAAAATGTGAAACAAACAGTATGACGTGTGTTATTTGCAAACTAGTATTAAAATTAACAGTTTTGCTTGTAGAAATTCTAAAATTCCAGTTAAACAATTAGTTATTTCCATGAAGGTACTTCAGTTGACACCATCAGTTGTAGAAGTAATCCTGTCTGTTAAGTATTACCTCAGAAACTTAACTGCATTTATCACAAGGTAGGGATATAGGGCTAAATCTCCATATAGGATATATTATAAAAATGGCAGGGTGTTCAATAGCTGCTTAGCTCTTGGTTTTGTTTGTTTCAGGATTGAGCTATCCAGAAAGTCTTCAGGTCTGTATCAGAGCAGGAGTGATCGTTCATGTCACTTAAGAGCAGGTGTGCCAGCACTTCTTGAACTTATCACATTCCTCTAACCTGCAGTTCCTAGCACATCATGGAGCAGGTCTAGCATGCTCTGAGCTGCTGCCTTACCTGCTGGCTCTCAGAGACTAGTGCATCCCAACACTTTTTTTTTTATATATATCTTTACTTTGCAATAATAAGATGTTTTTTGGCTCTTAACCAATGAGACCTGCAGAATGAGAAAATAATTTTGTAAAGAGCACCCATATTTGGGATAGCAAAAGAGGAAAGGGGAGGAGAAAAGAATTGGAAGAGAAATCATGAAAATATGTAGGGGATCAGGGATCCTTCTCAGTGTACTGTCATTCACTCAAAGGTGAGTGCGGAGGTAACCCCAGCTGCTCCCTACCTGCTGTTCCCATTTCCTTGTCTCTCTTCTCCAGAGCTTGACTTCTCCAGCAACTTCCACAGATATCCTCTCTCACACATTTCTAAGTCCCCATCACAGCCTTTATTGTTGCCACTGCTGGGCTGCTTTAGTTCTGTCTGCCAGAAATGATCATTCCTACAGTTGTCCCCTTAATGTTGTAAGGAAACATTGTAGAAATGAGAATACCAACTATGTAACTATATAAAAATACTTCAGTTGGCATTTATACAATGTTCTTCATTTTTCCTTGCTAAAAATAAAGTGAATCTTCCAACATCAAAGAAGTCATCTCACTTAGATGTGTCTGGTGTCACTCCTCAGAACTCTGCTACTAACACAGCTCAACTCACCAAGAAGTCATCTGTTAGGAAAAAGGTGCCAAAAAGAAGGTAAAACCCCTGAAAGGAGGAATTGCACTTAAAATATTCCTGTGCAGAAATTTACTTGAACTTTGTCCACTGCCTGTTCATGGAAAAATTCTTACTGCTTTTTTGTATTTGCTTTCTTTCCATCTGTGTTTATCATTTGGAATCTCTTCCCTGATTATGTCCTTAGGACTGCTCTGCAATTTTTTTCAGATTTTGGCTGGTAAACCATGCTTCTTTCTCCTTTATCTGCTGTTGCTTTGTATTTTGAAGTTTTTGAAATACAACCCAAATTTTAAATCAATGTGGCTTTTTATTCAGATCTAGTGTCTAAATAGTGTGTATTCAGCTTAGTCCAAAGATGAAATTAGCTACTGTAATAATGAAAACAGAAAAATTTTGAAGAGCTGTTGAGGAGAGAATCCTGAGAATTTTTTTTCCATCAAAAAGTTATTTTCATGTCATACTAGTTAATGCTTTCTTCACATTTTTCAGAGTTTTTCCTCAGTTTTGTGTCACCATATGTCTGAGTAGCTCAAAGAATCAATCAAATACTTGCAGATAGTTTCAAATTAATATTTCCCCTCCCTAGGAAACAGAAATGCACTGAACCAGTTCTCAGTGACAAGGAATTCTGGATATTTGAAGAGAAGCCTCCAGAATCTGAGTAAGTCATGGATGTTTGCAGAAATAGGTTGATTTTTTTTTCCAGATTAACTTCTATCTATTTATCTATTTTTTTAACTGTAATCATCAGCTATAGAGTTCACCACTGAATTTTGAAACCTTGATATTTATGGGTCACAGTGTTTACAGAGCAATTCCTATTTGCAGCATAATTAATAATGAATTTAAAAGTCATTCAATTGTTTGCATATGCTCTGAAAAAGTATTAGACCAAAGGCAAGTATTGGAAAAACAGTAAATATTGCTCATGTATTCATTTCACAGTGTGATTGTCTTTTAATTTTATGTTTCTTTTCAGTACTTTTAAGGGGATTATTATGAATATTCTCTGGATGGGTAATAACAGCTTGCTCTGCCTTGCTGAGGTAAGAACCTGCTTTTGCTCTCTTATGTCTACTCCTGTATCAGCTAAATAGTATGGTTCTTTACAATGTGTGATGGCCATCCAAAACTTTTCCTTTACTCACCAGTGCATCTAATTTTTAAAGAGTATTTGACACAATGTATTTTTAATCACACATTTCTTTACAAATATTAACTAATTCAGAATTGGGGGAAGAAAACTGGTCTCAAATAAGAGGGTGGTTGGTAGCCTTTATGTATCTCTGCTACTGTTACATGCCTAAATGTGACTTGATTGAATGTGTTATCAACAACTCCTCTATTTTATCTTTACCTCCTGAAGGAGTTCTACCAAAATAAGCAGCCTCATATGACAATCCCTGAAGATCTGCCAGAGACAATTGAACATCTTGCAGCAGTGCTCAAACAGAATCTATTGTCATACCAAAGTCAGACAGATAACTATTACAATTCCTGTCTTACAGGTAAATTAATTCATTTCTTGTGCATGTAACTTTTCAGTTATGTAAACTGTAAATTGCAATGGTGAAGAATTCTGTAGCTTTCTTAATCACACTCAGTGAAAAAACTCCCACTGATTTTACTGGCAATTGGGCCAATATTCTCTTTAATGTATTATCAGCTACAAAAAGCATGGCAGAAGAGCACTTGAGTAAGTTGAAAGACCTGTACAAGGATGTCTTTTAGCAAGTGTATGTTTCTTAAAGCATTGGACCTAGAAAAAGCCATGGCAGGGACAGAATCTGTGTGAGAGGAAATTCCAGGGGTTTTGACCCTTGCAGTGTACATTCAACTCTGCTGATTGGGTTTTTTTTCTTGCAATGAATACTTCTGTGTCACGTAAACACCCTGTCTTTTCCAAAAAGAATTTCAGGAGCAGTTAAAGTTGTTTGAGAAGGAGCTCCCTTATGTCTCCCAGTTGACAGTCGAAGGTCTTTTAAAAGAACACGAGCAGAAGCTCATCGATTCCACTGGTCAGGTTTGGCACCTCTTCAACAAACAGCTGGAAGGCTGGGAGAACATGAAGGTATGTACCATGGCCATACTGGAATGCTTCCAGTGTAAGCAATGCTAAATGCATCAGAATTATAGAATTTTATTAATCTTGTCATTTGCTTAATCACACGCTGCTGAGTTGGACACAGATAATGAAATGCCAGTATTTACTAACTTTGGAAGAAGAGGTATACTTTGTCTGGTCATAGCAGCACATAATGGAGATCATGCAGAAAATGTTACAGAGGAGTAGCCTGAGATTTTGTCCCTCTGAGTATTAAGTTGAATTTGGGTGTGTGTATATATATATATATATACCCCCAATATAATGTAAAGATATTCTAAATATTTTGTTCATCACTTGGTAGGAGAGATGATTATTTGTTGAAAACAAAACCTAAGATGAGATTCAGAGGCCCTGTTCTCCAGCAGATAGGCACTTTGGTATGTACTGCACTGTGAGGTTATCTCTATAGACAGCCAAGGAATTCACTGCATTTTCTTTGCTTTTCTGAATACTTTTATACAAACTGTGTGGGTTTTACTTCTTCCTTATCACAACCCAATTGCACATTCTTTACTGAAGTAATTTCTTTCTTATGTATTTATTTAAAGGCTGTACACAAGAATCAGTTACATCCCTCTCTGGGACACCCAGACAATGTAGTTCAGCTGGATGCCTTGTGCCAAGAGGAAATAAAAAGGCAAAAAGACCAAGCTGATGATATTCATCTCAACACACAGAAGCTGCAGGTAGATGTAAAGCCATTGCTTGGTAAGAACTTAAATGCTGCATTTGGAAAGGAGAGTACATCTTGGATACGTTTTTCCTCCACATCAAAAGTAAACTGGAAAATGTTTTCAGGTTTAGGCAATCCTATTCATCTATTTTTTATCTTTTAGGTTGTCTATTATCAGCATTAGATTGATATACATAAATGTATATGGACATGTACTCATGGATTGATTGTGGAACTGACTTTTTGTATCATTCATAGAACATCACTGGGGAAGAGATTACTTTATGTCTTAATTGTTCTTGTACAGTTATTGGATAGAATTGTAAATTTGGAGTGACATCCTCTGTTTAGTTACTTTACTTGCAGATGACAGATGCCTGGAAGGGCAGCTTCTGTGTTCAACTCATTGGTGCAAATAATTGACATTTTTCTACATAAGATTAAGAACTAAAATAAGCAGAATTTTATGGGAGAGACTCAGGAACGAAAATGGTTTTCCTGCTCCACCCTCTAGGGTTACTAGACGGCCAGTTCACCAGCATTAAAGCTGTTTACTTCTCACAGACCACCTACCCAAAATTCTAAGTTTTTACATTCCCAAGTAATACCTCCTCCTCTTGGCTCTCTGCATACACACACAGAAACACACCCTGGTTTGGAATGATACCTGGCCAAAGCACTTCCACCCAAAGTACTCATATTGCAAAGCAGCCTTTGCTTTGGGCAGGATGCATTTACAGGTAGTTGGTTTTATCAGGTTTAGATGCTTAAACCAAACATGCAACTCCTGGGCAACTATACACAGAGCTCTGTAGCTTCTTGTACTCTACTATAGGCAGTTGGGTGGTGTTGAGAATACTGCAGAGAGGCAATTTTAGACCCTTTTATGGAGCTTAGAGCCTTATGTCTCTCATTTGCAGCTGTTGCAAAATGTCAAGGTTGGATACTTGTGTCATTCTTTTGGAGCTAAGCTAGAAGGAGAGGAGATCAAATTATCAAAGGAATTCCTCTCACTTATCTCCAATGTCTCAACAGGATTGTGCTGCTGAGTGTGCTCAGAACTTTTTTTCTGCACTAGCTGCCTTCACTGAAAAGCTGCTCCTGGAGTTAGATGAAACTATCACTATTGATGATGTACAAGTAGCAAGTAAGTAACGAAGTGATTGCTTTAGACTCAGGCCTCTGCCTCCTTCTCAGATTGCAGCAGACTTTCCCTTAAAAGAGGAGAAATTTCTATGCTATAGTACTTTAAATGGAGAGATTTGCATGATCAAGTGTGCAAAGCTATTTCTTAAAAGTGAAGAACATCTAGCTGCATAGAGTTACTCCAAGTCAATGGTAGTGTTGCCATTGTTTTGTTGCTGTTGAGTCTGTCTTGTATTATCTCCCAGAAACTGAAGTGCCAAGAGAGAAGACATCCACTTTAATTCGTCAGAAACAAGCTGGGCTTCTAGAGATCAGTGAAGTTAAACAGTTAACTGAGCGTGGGGGCAGGTAATGCCTGCAGACACTGAACTGTTCTCTGTAATTTCTCTTCTCTACACTGGTATCAGACACTGTCCTCATAGTTTTTTTTTCTGCCTTGTTGAAACTGTTGAGTACCATGTTCATCATTGGTGATGCCATCTAACTAGTTATGGTGCTGTTTGTGGGGGTAATGGTCTTGAAGAAAGTTTAGCAATGGGTCAAAATAAAATATTTTATACATATATAATATTTATGCAATACATATTGCAATTGTAAATTGTGAAGAAATACAATTTCAGTGTTATTGCCATGCAGCTTTGTAAGCCATTCTTTATCAGTTCAGCACTTTATGAGTAGTCTGTGTAGTTTGACTTGGAAAATATGATATTTATTTACTGTGCCAAGATGCTGAAGTTTAAAAAGAAAAGGTGGGTTTACTAGTGCTAAATAAGTTAATTATGATGATAAAGCTTTTGTGGAGATCTAAAAAAAAATATTAATCTTTTGCATTTTAAATACAAGTAACATGAATTAGGATGATCTGTTCCCTTTCTAACTTTATCATGTGTTTTTTGTTGGTTTGTTTTTTTTGGAGGACTTGGCCAGGAATACCCATGACTACTCTTGCAGACAATTCAGGATTTGTTCTGTGCAGAGGAACTGCATCAGTTACAACCGCTAAGACCACCCAGGGCCACATGGCAGCAGTAGAAGCAAGAGATGCTGCATATAAGGTTGGTCTGCTACTGTTGTGGATTTGATTTTACAAGAAGAAAATTATAGTTATGTGTGAGTTTTTAATATACAGAGTGTTTTCAGACCTTAAATCCATATTAGATGTGTGTAGCAATCCTCTCTCGTGTCCGTTTCTTTGTGATGTTGTCAAATGCAGACAGAGTTGGTTTCTCAGGGGGTCCTCTCATTCAGATACATTGTGAGGAGGAATTGTTTCAGCAGAGAAGCATAGATGGTATCAGAAATGAAACTTTTCATGCATTTCAGCAGCATCACAGTCCAAAGAGTAGCTGCTGCCACAGTTCTCTTTCAGTACAGCTTGCTTTCACTCACCTTTCTTTCCAAAGCCTACAGCCTAGCCTTAGATCAGAGGCTGATTTTTCCATAAAAGGTGAAGGGCTGTAAGGTACTTACATCCTGAACCATCACAGGTCATTGCTTCTGCCATAAAAATGATCCTTTCTTTATTAAGCCTGCTAGAGTAGTGATTGATAGAGTAGTTATTGCAGACAGCTCTGACACACTGACAAGAGCTTGTGAAACAGTCATGTTCACCAGTTAGGGGAATATTCTGACATTGAGTCATCTGGAAATAAATGGTCAGTGTTTATGCATCAGTCCTGGAAGTAATCATACTCCCAGTGAGCTAAACTAGTTTGTTTTTTTTTTTTTTTAAAGGGAAATGTAAAATGCACTGTCAACAATGGCAAACACCATCAAAACAATCCATTTGCCTGAGTATTTTGTGTATCTAGTTATGGTACCTAAGCACCACTTACAGCACAGTTTTAAAGTGAATGTAGTTTGTCAGGGGGCTGTAATATAGTAAATGCATGCTACAGAAATATTTTCTTGAATGTATGTTGCATTAAAAGTAGAGTCTTTTGTATTTTGGAGCATGGACCTTTTTATAAAGGTGCCTTGAGGTTTTCATGGTAGCCTACAAGTTTCTCTTCAGGTGCAGTACCTTTTTAGCAGCTCTGTGACAGTTCAGTTCATACTCGTGACTCAGGAGAGTCTGGCAGAGTGCATTCTGTGTTTGAGGTGTCAGCCTTCCTCCCTCTCCTCTAGGGAAGGCAGCCCTTTGATCTTAGGAGCTAGCAGAAGTGAGATGAAGATCTTGTGTTTTTAGCACACTTCAGCTGTTGCTGATAATTGGGTTTCAGAAGCCTTTAAAAGGGACACACAAGGAAGGCAGTGAATAATCCCACATAGTTCTGTTGTCAAAAGCAGAAGATAAGTGGACTGTATGCAAGCTTCTGACACAGTGGATCAGGACCTGGATTTAGGCAAAGTAAAATTATATTTCATCACTACCTATTTTGTCCTTTGTTGTCATTTATACAGAAATACAAATGTAAACTGGAGCAGCACTTTGCCCAGATCAAGGAAGAAAGCAGAGCTCAGCTGCTGAGGGCCCAGCACTGGGAAGATTGGTGGGAACAATCTGTGCAGAAGATTAAGCAACTCTATACATGAGCTCAGTCAAATCTTGCTGATCTTTCTGATCACTGTTGGCATAAGCTGACAAGTTTGTACTAACGTCAATGATATTATAGATTTAGTCCAACATAATTTCCTAGGTGGTTTTCTTTGCACTGAACAAGTGCAGTGGTGAAAGTTGCTATTTTTTGCCTCTTGAAATAAATCTGACGAATGTGCTGCAAATGAAGTGGAGACTGTGCAGTGCTTCCTACTCAGATCTCAGCCAGAGTACAGTTAACTCGTTGTGGTGCTGCATGAAATAGGAGAATCTGAAAAGCCCAGGCAGTGGATTTGTACTGAAGTTCATGTTCAAGACTCAGGCAGGATTGAATCTGCCTGTGTCAGGGTGCAGTCTGAGCTCACAGCAGCCAGAGGCAGCCTGCCTAATAGTGGAATCTAGCAAGGAAACTGTTTTTTTGGCATGTGTGGAGCCCTTCCCACAGATGTCCTCTCTTTCTTCACGTTCTGAATGGCACTGTACTCACAGTACTTCAGTTTTAGCAATTGGAATGTGATACCTCACCTACAAGTGAGGTATTTATCTGCAGTCCAGAATGCTTTCCAAAGAAGGCCTGGAAGATAAAGTACTGCTTTGTTCTGGAAGGCCAAGCAAGTTCATTTAGGAGTAGCATTGCTACTTTCAGCCATAATGCTTTTAAAAAACTCTGAAGAAACTTGAGGAACCCAAGTAACTACTAAAAATGCTTTAGCTACCTGGGTTTTGTGTTTGTCAGGAGATTCTGTCATTAACTGCAACCACATCTGTTTCATTTTTGTTTGAATTCATTGTGAGCCATGGAGTTGTAAATCAGTTGAGGACAAAGATGGTAAAGGTCAGTGAAATGATTTTAGATTCAAGAGGCTGTTCCAAACTCATCTGGCTCCAGAGTTCTTGCAGATTTGTAACACAAACTGAAGCATCAGCTGTGCTCCTCATGATGCAATATTTCAAACTGTGTGTTTTACTTTTCTGGAGGGATTTGATGTTTACTCTGTAAAGGCACATGCCTATTACAAGAGCTGAAACTGCACTAAAATAACCAGAACACCCATGTCTTCTTTTAATTCTGTGTAATTTTTGCTATTTGATTTGACAGTAACTTTTATTCTCCTTTCTTCTATCTCCATGCATCATCTCCAGTCCTTCCCCATCCCCCAAGCTCTATGCTGTCAGTCTCTGTATGCCATGATGATAATAAGTGCATGAGGATGGTCAGGTGCAGGAAGGGAGAATCCCCAGGAGACTATCTGCAACGTGGTACTGTCTGATGTTGTCATTTATGCTTTGGGGAAAAAAATTCAGAGGATGTTTACAAAATTGGGAACTGGTATCAGGCTGGGAGAGGCTACGAGCACCACAGAAAACAGAATTCAATCAAGGCTTGATGGTTTAGAAAAATAGCCTGAAAATGAAATATAATTCCATAAAGTCAAGGCTTTGTGTCAGACACTTGGCTAGGAGAGGTTCTGTAGAAAATGTGTGGGTTATGTTTGGCCACAAGCTGAATGTCATCACCAGTGTGTGTTCCTGCAAAACAGTGTCATACAGGAATGTGTGAACTGTCACAGCCTGTCAGTTTTGTGGGGTAATCCTGCTTTACTCAATAAGGGTGGGGCCTCAGCAGGAGTGCTGGGTTTGGTTTGGCACCACAGTTCATGAGAACGGAGTGATCAGAGAGAGTTCACATGGAATTGACAGGTCTTGGAGTGAACATCTACGGGGAAAGTTTGAAGGAGCTGTGGTGATCAAGCTCACAGAATAGAAGGAAGGAAACATCATACCCCTCAGGTATGTAAAAGGAGTCACTGGGTACATGATCACTGTCATAAAGACATGAACCTGTTCATTTCACATGTGCTGGGGGCATCAGCTGCAAGGTCAGACATTGGCACTGAATGATCCTGGTGTCAGTGTAGCAGCTCTCACTACAGAATTAGCCCAGGAATTAAATAAAACTGGTCAAAGCATAGAAGAACAGCTAGAGGGGAAAGGCTGCTTGGCATTCCTTCTACATTTGTGAATCTGCAGCAATTTTAGGCAGGAGTCCAGAACTGCTCTGCATGAATCCATGGAGGCTTTAAATGGTGGAAGGCCTGAGATAGACTTTTTTTATTTATTTTAAGTGGGATTTCGTGACGCTGCTCGGTGAAAGCTGGTTATTGATTGACAAGAAAGTGAGGAAGAAGCACCATACAAGAGTTCTGTATGGCACAGTAAAGCAAATTAAAGAACATCTATTTATAGACAACCAGTAGCATTGCAGTGTGACAAACAGCCTTTTTTTTTTTTTCCTCAGGCTCTAACTGTGTTCTGGGAAGTGCTTTCCTCTGACAGCAGCAGCCTGGAGAGCTTCCTTTGCAGAAGAGCTCTCAGTCTGGACACCCAGCGTGCCACAGAGGCAGAAGTGAGTGTGCACACACCCACGAGATGTGTCTGCAGCCCCAGAGCTCTGTATTCAGTGCAGGTAAGAGGCAGTGCAGCCTGCAGCAGTTAATGTGCTTGTACCAAACCCCCTCGGAGGTCACGTGTGAAGGCCATGCGTGTTTGTCACGGATCCTGTGGCTCACACTGTGGGAACCTCTGCTTCCCTGTGAACAGGAAAAAGATTCATCTCCAAGCTTTTAAGGTAAGAGAGCTGAGCCAGGGAAAGTTGATTTTTATGGCTGTTGAAAAGGGAGTAATTTGTTTTGACTTGCCGAGAAATATCGTTACTCAGTAGGAATTATTGTTGTCATCTAATGTTTCTTTGCTTGTACTAGACCTCAGTTTACCTTTCTCCTGCATGCAGCTTTGGAGAGAGCTGTCTATGGCAGTTCCTTTCCTGTGAAGAATAGAATTTATCAGCTAAAGGGATAACTGTATCAGCTCTACATACCACCTGATAGGGTTTGTTTTAGTGAGTTTATTAAATTGCAAAGGGTGTGTGCTTTAGGTGAATAAACTGAATCTACAGAAACCAGAATTGAGTTATAAAGGCTTCCCCCCTGCTTCTAACTGTGATTAGATCTTGCTGAAGCAGAGAGATTTCTCAAACAGTTTACAGGAACTGACTCAGTGACTAAGTGGCCACGCTCTTAAAATCTGGATCCTTCTCTGTTCCTGGTCTCAGAAAGACTGAATAAAAAATTAAACTGCTTGAAAGAACCTCATGCTCCTATGATAAAATCACTTATATCATAGTGAGATATTTATAGCCCATTTGGCTTGCTTCTTTATTCTTTGCAGATTGAAAGCTGCTGGGAGTAAGAAGCTGCTCTTCCTTCTACTCTAGAAGACATGATTTCCAGGAAGGTGGTGGGATCTCTTGTTTGCCTGTTTATTGTTCCTGCATTTATCTGGTAAGCATTTGCTGGCATGCTTGGTCATGTTTAAAACATCCTTTCTATATGTATACTGTGGTGAAAAACGTAGCAGCAGGAAAATTTAGGCAGGGCATTTCAGGGGAAGTCCCTGTTAGAGCTGTAAGAAAGAGCAGTAATTTGTATAGTACATGAAGTAACACTAGTAGAGGGAGAAGCCGTTGAAGGGAGGCAATAAAAAAGACCTATTGTGTCTAAATTAGGCTGCTAACACCATATCTGACTCTCAAACAAATGTTCAAGTACAGAATATTCCAGTTAGACTTCAGTTCAGGCCTTAAAAGAGGTTATTATTGATCTCTTTGTAGCTATCAAACAGTGTTGCTTTCAGACACTGAGAAAGTTTGTAGCTGTGAGTATACTTACCCAGCATGCTGCAGAGATTCTCAAACTCAGCCATGGCTTGAAAAGGTTCTGAGTTCAGGCATTTCTGTTAACTATTAAATTGTTAATTATACTGTATTTCTGATGTTGCTGTTTGCTCTTGTTCCACATCGTGTGGTTGCATTTCACTAGTAAAGTGATTGTATATAAAAATGTGTAGAGATTGTGATCAAAAGTGAAAGGAAAAGCCCAGGCAGCCTATTTGTCTGCTACACAAATTAAAGGATGCATATACAGCACCTAAAATTCCAGGAAGTGTCAGTATGGCACATCAGCAGATGTTGTGCATTTATCCAACGTGGGCATTGCTTTACCTGTCTCCATTTGTGTATACTTTTCAAAACCATGTAGAGCTACATTTTTCAGACCACCTGATGTAAATAGTAATACTTAGACCTGATGTTACAACCTGGATCCTTCTGGCCTCGTTTTATCTTGAGCTTTTCCCATTTATGCCTTAGCAGTATCATTAAAACATTAATACACTGGATCTCAAGATAATTAGTAAAGTAGACATGTGGTTAGCTACAATTACTACTCAAGTTCTGTGCCAGATTCTGAGAAGATCCTGGAAAATCCTAGGGAGGTGTCTTTCAACATTACCTGTCTTAAAATGTTTCTTTGCTACCACAGGTTTATAGCTGGGAGTGGAAAAGTGCACTACCTCCCATATTATCTTCCTTGCCCTGAAATCTTGTAAGTATCCCTTTTTGGATGGAGAGAATAACACAGATGGTTGTTACAGGAGCTGTACTTAAGGAGTCATTCACAAGTAATCACTTGTTCTTTACTTTATGAATATGATTAGTCACTCTTACAACAAAACAGTAGTAACACAACCTTTTCTGCTTTAGCCTGCTTGCCCTTCAGGACAGCTCTGTATTTGTGCAGCATGAGTGAGGTTCTTGTTGTGGGTCACAGCCTGTGACCAACAGCTTAACATTGGCTTCATTATCAGTGTAATCACACACAGGCACGTTTACACACAGGATCCTCCTGTGCCTTGAGATTACAGTCAAGTATCTTGGCTTGCTAGATGGAGAAACACAAGCCAGAGGGGTGAAATGAATAGTCATAGAGTTCTGGCAGAGTTAGGAATAACCCCAGTCAGTACACAGCAGGTCCTGAAGCTGAACTTGGTTCATATTTTAAGAAAAGCATTACAATCCCTTTCATTTCCTGCCCTGTCAATGCAGCTCCCTGAAACTCCAATTTACAGAAGAGAAGCTAATCCAGCTTTTCCCCCAGTAAGTACTGGCTTTTTATTTTCTTTGACTTTTAAACTGCTGTTCCTCTCTTCTGGGCATTATTCAGTGGCTATTTCTTCATTTTTACAGGTTATTTTATCAGCAGCCAAGAGTGCTGGCTCCAAAGTAAGTTTTTGTTTGTACTCTGTGGTGTGTTTCTGCTGACTTTGGTTTGGGTGCTCTGTGGCACTCTGTTTCCTGATACACACTGAACAGTACCTTGTTCCACAAGAAGTCTCTCCATGGGGGGAAGTCCACAGCTGTCTATGCTGCTATAAGATTGAATTTAGTCACTGTATACTTGTTAACATACCTAAACTCCCAGTTAATACATTAGGGCACAGCCTGTCTACATGGTTGCTGCCAGGGACTCTTTTTGAGTTAGGAGATATATAATAGCTGGAAGACAGTGAAAAATACCTTCTGGAACTGTGTTGTAGCTGTAACCAGCTGTAGGAGAGCTTTGATTCCATTTCAGGACAAAATCAAGCCTAGTGCCTTGTATGAACTTCAGCAGTGGTTTCACCTAACCTGCTGGATCTTACACTGGAATAAGTTGCAGCATTCCCACAAATAAGTCTCTGTGAGAAGCAGTCAAAACAGTGAGTTTAAACAGGCATAGAAGATTTCAGGCAGCAGCAGCTAGGAAGAGACTTAGGCAAATGCTCCTTGCCAGCTCATGTTTGTTTGCAGTCTCCTTTGGCCCAGCTCCTGTGGCCTGACTCTTATCTGTAGCAGTTCACCTCCTACAGGCACCATTCCTGTGCATGTTCAAACACACCCTCTTGGTACACATGGGTTTTGTTTGTTCCCCCCCTGCTATTTCAACAGGACGTGCTAGGCCTGAATATTTCTCCCTTGGAATTCTCAATTGGAATGAATTAATGTGCAAAATCAGCTTGTATATACTGGACTAAATGAGGAGAGAGTCCTGTAACTGTTAGTGCTCTGTGTCTTCCAGAGGGAGCTGAGGAGCACCACTGAGAGGGTGCATAGCACGGAAAGGCGTCGCTGGGAAACCCAGTGCAGTCCTTGAAAATGAAAGGAAAAAAAAGCCCTGCTCAGAAAAACAATCTTGCACGTTGCCTTCTCTCTCTCTTCCCCTCCAAAAAAGGGGCAATTAACCCAGAAAGAGAACAGCCCAGTTAGTACATTTTGTACAAACCAATTTCTTCTTCCCGTATAATTTACTCTCTTGATGATACACGTTAATATAGGAGGGAGTGAAATTGTTATGCTAGTATTCACTTGGACTGAAAGGATTAGATCTGGGTTGAAAGTGTACCACTGCCTCAGCCATCAAACTGCTCCCCACAGGTCCCTCAGTTTGATTTTTGTGCTATTTTGCCTTGGAAGTGTGTCAGATGAGAGACTCCTTCAGCCCCAAGCGTGGCCCTGCGTTACGCATGACAAATTTCATTAGCAGAGAGCTACAGAGCATGGTCTGGGGTGAATGTGAGTGGGCTAGGGTAAATTACACAACATAAATGGCATCTTGTTTTACAATCAAAAAGGTAAGAAAGAAACCCTGAAGACAAAGAAGTGAAAATGGCATTGCAGAGCTGCAATAGGGCATAATCACCCTGCTGCACATGCACATTTCTACTGCCCACACAGGAAGTTAAGGATTTCTAGAACTTCGTTACACACTTGGCTGCTGGCTCACAGACAGGATTTTAAATTATATCTGAATGTGCTAAAGCTATATATAAATACTGGAAAATACACTGTCATGCTGCAAGCTGTGTTTTAATAACACAGCAGTGGGGTGTATTTTTGTAGCCATTTTCATATTATTACTCGTGTTTTAATCTGTGTATAGCAATCTGCACCAGACTGATAGAAAATATTGCACAGCATCTCATTCTGGGAGTTCAGTGGTCATTAAACTCTCTTCAGCAGAAAAACTCTCTGAGCTTAAATGAGATTTTAGTAGATCCTCAGGTTTTTCCCAATTTGTTCAGCAGTGCTTAATTTCATCCCAGGAGCTGAAGTATAACCTTAAAAAAGAGGGCAGGGAGAAAAAAAAATCTGAAGATACCATCTATAATGAGTTAAGGCTGCTAGATACACTCTTCTTCTAGCTGCCTTTTTAGTGTTTCTTTCCCACTTACAGGCCTTGAAACCAAAAGGAGCAGTTCATTATGTTCCCTTTCCTTTCCATCAGGCGTCAGGATGTGCTGACGGTCACACCATGGCTGGCCCCCATCGTCTGGGAAGGAACCTTCAGTGCTGAGATCCTAGACAGTGCCTACAGGCCACTCAATCTCACCATAGGGGTCACAGCCTTTGCTGTTGGGAAGTAAGTGAGCCCCTCGGTGGGCACAGTCCTTGGGCTGATGTACTTCTGTCAAAAGGCTGTTTGGGCTTTTCTTGTCCCCAGCAGAGATGAAATCTGTCCCAGTCTGTGGTAAACTTTTATGTCCCTATGTTGTGTCCATAATCATAGAATCACAGAATGGTTTGGGTTGGAAGAGACCTTTTAAAGGTCATCAAGTCAAACCCCCCCTGCAGTGAGCAGGGACATCTGCAGCTAGAGCAGGTTGCTCAGAGCCCTGTCCAACCTCCCCTGGAATGGTTCCAGGGATGGGGCATCCACCACCTCTCTGGGCAACCTGGGCCAGGGGCTCACAACCCTCACTGCAAAACAAAGAATTCTTCCTCATATTGAGTCTAAATTTACCCTCAGTCATACAAGCCTACAAGGTGACAGACTCAACACCCCAGGTGTCTGGAAGCATGGTCAGTATTTTTGAAGAACTAGCATTTGCCTTGGGAAATTGAGCTGTAGACAGGTGGTCGGTTGGTCAGAGCAGGGATAATCCCCTTGTTCCTTGTCCTCCACTTCACCTCTTGCATGCCTAGTGTATGGATCCTTGCAGCAAGAGCTGGTCAATGCTCTTCATCCCATGCCTTCATTCATTAAAGCACCCTCAAACCCCACCATGCATCCTCTTGTCTCTGCTGTGCTGTCCACCTGCTGTCTGACAGATACACGAGGTTTGTGGGACGCTTCTTGGAGTCAGCAGAGAGATATTTCATGAAGGGCTATCGAGTGAACTACTATATCTTCACTGACAACCCTGAGACTATCCCTGCTGTTCAGCTGCAGCCTGGACGGAGGCTTGTCACTGTCCCCATCAGGAAGTACAGCAGCTGGCAGGAGATCTCCATGCGCAGGATGGAGGCCATAAACAAGCATATAGCAGAGAGGAGCCATCAGGAGGTGGACTACCTCTTCTGCCTGGACATTGACATGGTGTTCTACAACGTCTGGGGGCCTGAGACCCTGGGTGACCTAGTAGCAGCCATACACCCTGGGTATTTCAACGTCCCTCGAAGACAGTTCCCTTATGAGAGGAGGAGCTCTTCAGCAGCCTACATCCCTGATGGAGAAGGGGATTTCTACTATGGAGGAGCTGTGTTTGGAGGGCTGGTCAAGAAAGTCTATGAGTTCACCAAGACTTGCCACATGACCATCCTGACGGACAAAGCCAACGGGATCATGGCAGCCTGGCAGGAAGAAAGTCACCTCAACAGGCACTTCCTCTCCCACAAACCCTCCAAGGTGCTTTCTCCAGAGTATTTATGGGATGACAGGAAGCCAAAGCCCCCTGAAATTCACCTCATACGTTTTTCCACAGTGGATAAGAACTACAAAGAGATACGAGATTGACCAGCTGATCCCTGCAGAGATGTCCTCCCCACAGTCAAACCCACTGAACATGAGCCCCCACAGACCATGGTTTTGCCTGAGAAACTTAGCAAGATCAAAACAGTATTTGACTGTCCCATGGAGAAGAAGGCCTAGAGTTTTAGTAAAGACCTTTCCAATTGAGAAGCAAACCCTTGCAGGGCAGTTAATTTTGGTGCATTGTGATTTAAACTCTCACCCTTTGTCAGGATCAGGAGGAAACTTGCACTTGGAGCAAGTTATCCTTGAATAGTATGCAGCAGGATTTCTTGGACCTTCTCAGCACAGAACTGGTGCCAGCCATTGCCAGTTAGAACTCTGGTTTGACAGGACAAATAGTGTGAATTCATATAGCAGTTATCTTCCAATCTGGGTTTTGGAGACTGGAGTTCAGACAGAACTGGCACAACTTAGACCCAAAGTGAACTTCTTTGGGTGTATTTCAATCACAGATGTGCTCTAAGCCTTTTCCCTGCTTCACACATCTCTGTAGAGACCGTGTCATCTTTTCCAACACAGAAAATCTGGCATTGAGAGGTTCATGTTCCTATCCATTGCTTCAGTCCTTTCCAGGTTTTCAAAGCCCTGTGAAATAAATTGGCTGGAAGCTGCTGGAACCGACAGCGAGAGCTGATGCATTTCCAGCAAACAGGGTGAGTTCATTTTATAATGAAATGCTCCAGTGGAACGGTGAGTTCAGCCTGGAGCTGGAAGCAGGCTGGGGTTAACATTTTCTTCTTGAGGAGCAGCTGAAGCAGGCGTTTTGCAGGCTCTAAAGCCTGACAGCTCACTGGGGTGAACAGGGGGGCAGCCACGGCTTGCCAACGACGGCTCCAGAACTGTCAGCTGAGGTCAGAGCGTGGAGGTTCACGTGCCACCTCCCTTGCTGCAGCACTTCTGCCAGAAACATCTTCCCCAGAAACATCTTCCCTGTTCCCTCCCGAGGCAGGGCTGCACAAGGGACCATGGGGAGCAGCAGAGAAGGGCAGTGCTGGAGAGGAGCAGGGGTGAAAGGGCTAAGCTGGCTGTTTCTAAGGGAACAGTTGAAAAAAAAAAAGGAGGGGAAAAAAAAAAACCCAAGGCTCGTTTGGCAGAGAGAGAAAATGGGGAAGAGGTGCCTGACTGTTCTTGTGTCTCTTCACATGAGAAAATTGCTGTATGGCAGCATATCAAGTATTCAGAGCTTTAGGGCCCCACCACTGATTGCAGATGACTTAATGAGACATTTTAGTCCTGTGTGAGCAGGCTGAAAACAGCACTTGCTGGTGTCATTGTAGACATTTCATCTTCCAGAAGACTAATTAGAAGAGCTTTCACAGTATCCCTAGTACAAATAAGGTACATAAAACACCTCCAGCCTAAACCCCTGGTGGCACCTGGCTCTGTTAATTCATGCTTCATCCAGCAATGATCTACCCTGCTATATTTTCTCCTGACTGTTCTTAGTGTTCTGCTGCTGGAGGAAGACAATCTTATACCTCACCAAACCAGAACGGAATCTCTTTGGTAACCAGGCATATCATCTAAGCCAAAAGGATGAAGAAAGATCCTTATCCAAATATTCCCAAAAAGAGATATTCCCACCAAACCCAGGATTAGTAGTGTGTATTTCTTCTGTGTAAAACTGTTGTGTCCAAAGGCCATAAATGAATTCTGCTCTACTAAATTGCTTCAGTTCCTGGGCAGGTATTCATAGCTGACACTAAGTCCACCAGAAGAAGTTCTCCAGCACAAATGATGTGTGATAGAGGGTGGTCAACGTTTCTGGAGCACCTGTTCTGAAAAACTTGTGTGAAAGGCTTGATCTGCAGCTCTGCTTCCTGGCCACGCTGATGGATGAGGTAACAGCCTGATTTGTGCAGTGCCAAACGTGTTTATCTTCCTGGCAGGCCCAGAGCTTCCCCCCAGGGGAAGATCTTGTGTCACACGTTACATGACACAGTTCTGCACGACAGGGCTGGGATTTGAAGCGGTACCTTCAGTCTCCAGGGAGCAGAAGAATGTGCCTGCAGAACCACGCTCCCCATGCGGTGTGGGAGGCACTCCCTGAGTCACCTCCTGCCCTCCTCTAATTAGCAAAAGGCTGGACTCTTGTCATCTCCTGCTGATTAATCCCCTTCCTCCAGCAGCAAGCTTTCCTCCTCTCATTTGGACCATGCAGCCTGAGACTTGTGGGTGGTGTGGGAGCTTCACAAGGACCTGCTTTCCCAGCTGAATTCCCCACCAGCATCCACTGCTCAGTGGGGAAACTGAGGCACGTGGTAGCAAGGCAGCAGCCTGGCACTCCTACATGTGAGCTCTTCCTCCACTCACCACAGGGGACAGACAATGCTGTCTCAAGTGAATCACCACGTGTAAATAAATTACCCGCTGTTTTACACTGCCTGAGGATCTGATGGTGCTTTCAAGGTATTTCTGACTCAAGTCCTGTTTGTCCTTAACCCAGCCTCACATCAGTAGCTTGTTGCCTTCCCAAGGGCCCCTTGTTCCATCCGTCCCTTTCTGCTTGGCTGGAACAGACTCGTCATTCATTGTCCATCTAATTTAAGAACCCATCTGACAGGCTTTTTCTTTCCTTCTCCCAGCTGGTGACTTGTATGGTGCATTCATCCCCAAAGGGAAAATTTGGGAGGGGGAGGAGGCAAGGAACAGAAACTTCCAGCACTGAACGTGATCTAGGTGGGGCCAGCCCATGATCCTCTCATTCTCCCCACTGATGGGGACAAGAATCACTTCCACTGAGCCAGAATTGCAGCTTTTTTCATTCCTATTCAGATTTTCCTGAACCCCCCCGAGGTGAGGCTGCCTGAGGTAACTGCCCAGAAACGTCATTTTGAACCTCTTTGACACGCAGCCATAGTTACACAAGCACTGGCCGAGTCAAACCTCCTCTGGGTGAGATCTGTGGCCTGGGGGCGTGGAAATGAGACGGTCTTTGAGCAGATGAGGAAGGATAAGAACATCAGTTAGATGTTCCCTGCACCAAAGCAGCTCGGGCAATAGCCGTGTGCGTCTGGTTTAACGCAGCTAAAGCAGCAGGGTGGTGGAAAGGAGCTGTCAGGCTGTGAGCTCCCCCCACAACGGCTGCTTCTGCTCTCCTGCCCTTTGTCTTTACCTGCCTGGGGACCTGTCTTTGTTCCGCGGCCGCACTGGGGCCAGCCTTGGTCGCTCACTAATGAATATGAGATGCACAGAGCGAGTTTCTCGGCAGGGATTTGCTCTTTTCTCAGAGGGCAGCTCTGAGCACCAGCGATACGATTTTCTCACTTAAATCCCCTCGGCTCTGCTTCACCTCCCTGCCCCAGCCCGGCCCCGGGGGGGACCAGGCCGAGAGCAGCAGCTGCTCCAGGTGGGGTGACAGTGACGCCGCCGGGGACAGCAGGAGGAGGAGCTTACAGGAGCGGGCTGCGCTTTGCTCACGCCGAATCCCCAGCCCTGCAGCTCTGACCCACACGATTCAGCAACGCATGGCTAGCAAAACGCCTCGAGAAGTGGCTTTTAAACGTCTGCCTACCCACCGACACCCGGATATCACAGTGCCGCTGTCCTGACCTGACTCTTCTCGGGCTGTAGATTAAACACGGATCTGTCAAATGGCACCGTTTTGTCTAAAACTGGTGTAAAGCCACGCAAATAGAAAGATTTAACCAGAAATCTCTGCTGCTTGTATGTCCACCTCATCCCCTCTGCCCCCTCGATGAACTTGTAGGTAATTTAAGGCAAGTCAGGAGAGTATAAATTGCTTCTAAAAAGTGCTTCATTCTTTGTAGCAAGTTTTGCCAGCAGCAATTACACAGTCCTAGACCTTTTGAAGTATGTATTTTCCCACTGTTCAGCACTGATGCCGTTGCTATAATTAGAGTGATGTTGCTCTGTAGCAGCAGCGAGTGCCAGAGCGAGAGCCCTGGCAGCACCTTCTCCTTTCCTGCCTTCCCTGCCCGCCTGGAGCTGCTGGTTCTGCTGGCCCGGGGCCACCAGGAGCAGGACGGTCAGATGCCGCGGGCTCTGCCTGTTGCTAACTCATAACCCTCCAAAGCTGGTTCTTCCCGGGAAGGGGGCTGCTCCATGTGGGTGCTGGGGTCCCCAGGGTGCAGTGGCTGGCTCTGCACCCCCAAGCCCAGGCCGGGCGCACTCGGCCGTGGGGTGCCGCAGCCTTCCCGCAGCTCCCGCTCCTCCCGGCATCACTCAGCACACGGCATCGGCCTCCGGAACACAAACTGCCGACTGCAGCCTCTCACCGCCTCCAGCCTCTCCGTTTCCAGGGCACCCCCTCTCGCTCGGCCTCCGCCGTCTCACCAGCTCACGCTCCGGCAGACACCGAAATCTCCAGCAGCTTTCTCCCGGGGTCGCTCCGTGGCCCGTTTTGGGGGGTGGGTTGGGCTGGGC